CTTCTATAATTCTGAGTCAAATTTCTTTATTTTTCAGATATCTTTCAGACGTTCGTATACGTAGAAAAACGTCCAAAATTAATTTCAATAGCGCTAGACCAAGACATAAGTTGCAAATCCTGTTGTTTTTTTTTTAGAAAATTGATGTAAAATGTTTAAGAGTATGTATTAAATCAGACTTGAGAATATATTGTTGTTGACGAATTCAAATATATTCCTAAATTTGGACCATAGATTAATTGTTATTTGCAGAGAAATGCGAATAAAATAATGATAAATGACGAGTTTGCTCGAAACCTTATAAGTGTTTGTAAGATGAAAAAGACTTACCAGGTTTCGAACAACCATTCTAGACATGTTTTTACCTGTAGCAACAATATATAATGGAACCCCCGTTAATCCGGCTTATAAAACATAATCCCTGTGTTAAAAGTACGAAAACCAGGTTTTTTGATTGGTGCATTTAAGATTGTGATAGAAGTAATGTAGATGTGACTTAATGAACGTCACGAAATTGAAGAGATTTTTATATTTTGCTTTATAAGGCCACTTGTAGATTGAAGAATAATCGAATAATTGAATTTTACGTCTTTTTAGAAAGACAATAAGAAACTCTTTCTCCAATTGGTTCACCTTTTACCAGCATTTCACTCTGTACCTGACCCACCAAGGTCTGTAACCAAATGAATTTAATATCGTCCACGTGTTTAGTGACATTTACAACAGCTTGCTTGTGAAGGCTGAAAAAAAAGCGCAAATTTTCTTGTGTCATTTCAACAACAAACTTCTTTTCTTCTTATTCCTCGAACAAATCGGTACTGGTCCTGTGGTACTTGGATGTCAATTCCAAACTTTCCCTTAGCTTGTTCAATTAGTGCATGCTCGCCTGTCACATTTCAGGTATGTGTGTGACCAGAAATTAAAACTTTGTGGTCAATAAACTCAAAAGGTACAGATCTCATAGGAACGTTAAATATTGTGTCTAGGTGCAAGTTACGATTTTTCCCGAGATAAGTATCACTATAAAAAGTTACAGGCTTTACAGTTGTAGGTAGAGTCTTAAAATAAGTACATGACGTAAGAAGCAGTTTTATTGGCTCCTCTTTTTCCTACACCTTCATGCCACGTATAGTTTTCCTAGACGTATAGTTACGAACAGGGAAATTATAGGCTACGTCCAAAATAGTATTTTGTAACTTGGGTATCGGTAAGCACTATCGGAGATCAAAAACTGTCGTTAATATTTTTCCTTGTGTTTATAATCTGCATTTACTTTCTTCAAATGAAAATCTTCAGCTTCTTGTAACAGACCGTTTCGGGTTCAGAGTCGTGCGGTGATTCGTTAATTGAAATTTGACACAGTACGAAGGAACCATTTGGTAAAACAAAAGAAAATTATTCTGAAAAATACTTCAAAGTGTCTAGTCTCAGACCGGTCAAAAATAAGGTTTTCAGACTCATTAAAATTGATTATTTTTGAGTATCGGTCAGGAAAACACGAAATATATTTGGTCAAAACATGGTATGTTCATATGTCAAGTTCTGCCCAGTTATTTAGTAATATGTAACTGCTTGTTATGATCTCATACGTCGCCTAATTACATTTTGAATTGAAGTGAAGTGAAATATTATGTTTAGTGTAAACAGAAATGCCTGTTGGAGCATCAAAACGTGTTTCAACACTTATAGTATTCTGATTAAACTTCAATAATATAATATATTAAAAACGCCAAAATATTCACTTATTATAATACCACAGATATTATATGCTTCACAAAATTTTCAGTATTATTTACCAGTTGTATCTGTGTTATATTATAACGAATAAATATCTTTTATAATACAAAAAAGAAAAAAAATTCTATACGTTTTAGAATAATAAAGAAAAAAAATTCAAATCTCAATGCGCATCAAGCTGTCGTAAGATTTAATTTATATAATTTACAAATAAAATAATAAAATTTTATTCTGGTTAAATGGCTGAATACATGCAATAAAAATAAAAGAATTCAATTTAAATGCATTTTATACATTATTTCTAAATTAAAACTGATAGGTATTAATAATATTTAAATATTATTAATATGTCAGTTTTAATTTAAAATAAAAAAAAATATGTAATATACGAGTATTTTAAATTAAAATTGACAAATGTTTAACTTCGGATAAAACTAAAATTTGTGATAAATAATTCGAAAACAAGATATAAATAAATAGTAAAAATACAAAAATATACAATAAAGTATACAATTTATATATATGGGGGGTGCAATGATAAACAGGTGAATATCCTTCAAAACTTCTTCAAAACCGTTTGTTTGCAGGGATGTCATCTTTGCTATCACTTGGATGAAGTTTGCAGAGAACTGTCACAGGCCACAAAGTTTACATTGAGATTTTCCCCATCTCTATCAGATTATCACACTTATACTCCAATAGTAACACATTTTTGACTCTGTTTAAGTTCTCTTTCTCCATTCATTCCTTATTTCGATTTGAATTTATAGATTCAAATTAGTATTGGAGAAACACAACACTGCATAGCTCTGAAGTTATGCAGAGGAGAAACATTGACAGGGGTAAGAATTAATAATTATCAGCAAAACAACTTAACGATTCATGGCTTATTTCTATTTGTAGTATTTTCATTCTTTCTGATTATTCAGCTAATGTTTGATATACAATTTCGGTTATAAATAGGATCAAAGTATTTATATATAAATTAATTTATTTAAAATAATATACTCAATAAAATACACATTTTCAACTTTAATTTGACGCATTTGTAAATAAGTAATAGCATTTAAAAAAAAAAAAATTAATGCATATCATAGAATATAAATATATTTCAGATAACTGCTACAGTATAGAACTTTTATTTTAAATGATTTATAAGAATGTAGACTAGTCTAACCTCATGATTTATCATCTTATAGCTTTACTGTCTTCTATAGAAAACTTTTTCCATTATTTTAACTAATCGTCTGGAACTTATTTTTTCGTTGAAAAACTCATAAAATAATGAATACTTTCAAATTTTATTTTTTTAAAAAAATTAGATTTACTATTGATTGTTTACTTATTCTACTCTTTAAGTCAAACCCATTTAGGAAATAAACGTAATTGTCTGATTCCAAAGTTATATACTTCCAAAAAAACATTTGAAAACATCCAGATTCTCCCTCTTCTCTTTAATAAATTAACAATATAAACTCTCGAATATTAATTTTGAATACGTAATTTAACCAAAAAAATCTTATAAACTTTCAGAAAAATTTTAAATAGTTTTTTTTATATAATTAATTGTAATAAATATAAATAATATAATTATAAGGAGANTGAATCTTATAATTTTATTATTCCATTTCACTAATAATAGCATAAATTAAGATTATATTTGTATTAATTTGTTTTGTTTTTATATCTATCTATTATTTTACAAAAAAGTTATAAATTTTATATAGATCTTTTACTCATTTTGTTAAAGTTTTTCAACAGTTTTATTAGCGAGTTGCATTTATAAATTCGAATTATATCATAGTATTCACGAATTTCTCTTAATATTGGACATTTCAATATCAAATAACAAGGTGTTAAGTCGTCGAAGTTACATAAAAAACATTTTGTTAATAAACTTATATAAGTGTTGTTAATATACAATGAATATTTATTTAAACGAAGATGTGCTGTAAGTCTTTTTACATTCAAGTTTACCGAATGCAACATGTATAATTGAACTGATGGTGAACGGATAAATATGACTCCAACTTTCTAATGTTTTAAAACTATTTTTTAAAGTACGTAGATCATCAGGCGGAATGTAAGCAATTAACAATGTTATTAAATTATTCGTTTTATTTACCAACATAGGCTTCTGTAATGAGATAAGAAGTAGCATATAATTGTTGAATTTTCTTATGTCAATTATTTTACCAAAGTTCTTTTTTATTAAGATACATATACCTCCGCTTGTCCGACCCGGTCCAGTAGGTTTTTGTGCTTGAATCGCTTCCACTATATAATCATTGAAAAATTTATTATTATAATACAAATTCGAAGTAATCCAAGTTTCAGTAATTGATAAATTATCCGGCTCATATTTAACGCAAAAGTTTTTTATTAGTGACGTTTTATTTTTTATTCCTTGACCATTCCAGTTAGCAATGGAAACCATTTGATTATTCTTTATAGCTCTGTTATATTGCGTGTATTTTTGCTTAACATGATATCAACTATCTGTATTTATTTGATTACTATAACGACGAAAATTATTTACATAAACCAGTTTACTCGATTTTAGGCTATATGTTATTTTTTCTTGGTTTATCGTTAATATATCATTACGGAGTTTTACTTGGTCTTTTTGTCTTCGCAATTCATAAAATATTGGGAGCAAATTTTTCCTTCTTATCCTTGAATTTTTAGTTAAATCCGGGGATATTTGCATATCTTCCCATTCTTCTAATACATTTTTTGTTGCTTCTTTTGAATAAAAGTATGGAAGAATTTATCACGAATTTGCTTACTACTGAATGTTGTTTTTACTGTTGTATTAGGTTTCTTCATTATTAAATTTGTTTCTATTATCTCAGTTGGGGTTATATCATGAATATTTAGTACCTTAGTCATAAAGTTGTATATCTCTGACGTAGATATAGATTTCGCAATAGGATATTTGTATACTATTAGTTTTTTATAATTATAATCATTCATTAAAGAATCTATTTTAAATTACGTTAATTCATTTTCACTGTTTTGATTTTCTAATTGTTGTTTTAAATTTTTAATTTCTTTCTCCATATATATTTGTTTTTCCTTAATCTCACGTATATCTTGACGTATTCGTTCTACGTCTTCTTTTATGTAGACCATTTGTTCTAACAATTTATCATTTGAAGCATTTATTAAATCTGATATTTTAGTCCATAGAAGTGCAGTTGAGGTGTCAAGTTGATTTACCGAGTTAGTAAATTGACTTGAATTAATGTTAGGTGACTCACCTGTTGACCCCATTAAATTCTGCTGACCAGGTTCCATATTTTGATTCGATAATTCTTTTATTCCTTCTTGTAAATCACTTTTCAATTGTGTTCCGTAATCTGTAATGAGTTTAGAGCTTGGAGTACTTGGTTGAGCTTGTTTATTCTCTGTCCTCGTTCTGGTCAGTGGAGGTCTTCCACGCTTAACTGGAGATATTTGCATATTATTATTATTTTTTGAATTATTACTTTTACCTTTAGCTGTACTTTGAAAGTATTAGTTTAAACTTGTTTAATAATTAGTTAATCAAATAAACTATACTTCACTGCACAATTAAGAGGTTCACAGAAAAGTCACTCACAGCGTCGACGTCCTAACACGTCNCTGATTGGCATTCTACATGTAGATTCTACGTATGGTGAAAGTCAGTTCAACGAAAATACATGACTGTAATATATTATTAAACGTAATACGACTAAATATTATTAGTTTCGAACGTCACTCCATTTTAAATTTTAAATTTTAATTTCAATCTTATAAATTTCTACAGTAAAGAAAACAAAATGAGATCACAAAAACATAAGGAATACAAACAAAATAAAAATACAGAGTGCCTAAGCAATTTTTTTTTCTCACGTGCACTTAAGATAAACTAATTTTTTGCTCTACTTTTCTTATAAAAAATAAGTATTTCATATATCAAATACTTTTAATATAATAAATTAATCTTATTTTTATTATAAGAATAAAGAAAGTTAGTAAATGAGTCAAATTCGTTTAAAATATTCCATAATAAATGAATGAAACTGTCAATATCTATGATTTAAAATATATTTTTATTGGGTAAAGCTTCATTTATTAATTAAAAATGAGTAATTAAAAAAAGGGAGAAATTTTTATTTAAAATACTTAAGGGAAATAATTTAGATAGGTGTCAAATTAAATATATCGAAGGAAAAATAAAATAAAAATCAATTACGTACTAAAATGTAAACACGAGTTAAATGAATTATTAAAATTCTAAATCTAAAAATTCAATTGAATAATAGCGATTAACTTACTCTTTGAATAAGTAAATTACACTATTATTTCATTACTTATTTTATTTATTTATTTTATTTTCATTCAAGATTTCATAATTTAAAACAAGAACGATGTAAGATTTCTTTATTTGCATTTGTGATTACAACATAAAAAAATTACTCAATATAAAAATGAGGATTTATACATTCTTTAATTACACTTCAATAAGGGAATTACATTTATTACTTTAATTATTATAATAATTGAGAATAAAAGATTTTCTTCATTGAAAACTTATTACAGTAGTTAGAGAAAAGAATACTTTATGATTAATAAATTATATTATGTTATTTCTTTTATAATTAATTTCATTTTTATTTTATATTAATGTAAACTTTGGAAGACGAATTTTACGTTATTGAGACAAATTCAGTCACCGTTTGTTTACTTTAATCTCAGAAACAATACTATGAAGGCACTTCTTCCTTTTTAGAGCACTTGTTTGCCGAAAAATAATAAAAATTTCGTTGAAAACACATGAAAAAATACATTTTATTTTTAAATTAACTTTTTTTAAAAATAGAAAATGAGATAAAGGGACGTCTTCAGTGACTCGGAACACACAACTACTAACAATACTAACCTTATTAATCAATTAAAAGCGTTATTAGTACTTGAAATTCAATCTTGTAGTGTTAATTTTACAGGATTTTTAAAGAAAATCTTTACGGTATTAGTAAAAATTTGATATTAATCTATTAAATTAATTCTAAACCTCTTGATAAATACATAAAATAGAAAAAAATGACATCTAAAAATTAAATAATTAAAATTTAAATTTGAAATGAGAATGAGTAGCCTATATAATTCTCTTCCATAATGCTTTCAATGGTGCAAAGACCATCAAAGTTTATCGAACAAAGAAGGAGCCGTCTTTCCTTTATCAAAAGTATCGTAAACTTCATTCTTTGTAACATTGATTTGATTTTTAGAGCGATGATATAAAGTGCATTGGCAGCAAAAATCTTTATTTTAAGTGTATCCAAAGTGTTTATGTGAAACTTCTTAGCTATCAGATTACTTAGAAGAAGCAGGTTGTGCTGTTCATAAGAAGTGAAGTTTATTCTTTTCTTTGTCGCTATCACTTTACGACTTGATATAAACAGGTTTAAAAGAGTTATAGTTTCTTCTTGGATTTTTTATTACTATATATCAAATGAAGCAAAAGAAAATACATTAGGACTTAAGAAAATGTACAACAATATAAAATAATTTTATATGATTAAAATTTTAAATTATTATAAATAAATTAAGTTTCAATTATNATTTCTTTATTTGCATTTGTGATTACAACATAAAAAAATTATTTCAATCACTTTTACGATTATAATTTGTGGGATTTTTTACTAGATTCCAGGGGAAAAGTGTTCAGTTTTTCTCCTCTGAAAAAGCACATGGTTGACTGATGGGAAATCACCTAACACTGAAGCCTGAATGGCCCCATTGTGCCGGGTCGACCGGAAGCTGAGAAGAAGGAAAAATAAATAAATTAAAGTGTTAAAATAAAAGCCTATTAGAACAATATTGATTTAAATTTTAAGTCATTTTAGTCCATCTCAAATGGTAATTTTTCAAATAATTGTAATTTATTCGATTGTGTTAATTATTTAATCGATTAAAGCACATTAAAGGTTATATGGCCAACCGCAATTAAGGAAAGATTTGACCTGCCATGGTGTAGATCAGTAGGGATCAAGGATGAAAATCGACGCCTCGACCTATACTATTCGTGATAAATACAAAGGTCGAAACGGGGTTCATATTCTGGTTCTAATCCAATCCAGACCTTTTCGAGAGGTCATGTTATCGACAATTGTAATTTCTTGAAAATTATCCTTACATGAAGATTGATTTAAAATATGTGTAAATAAATAAATGTAATATTTAGAAAATTACAACAGAAACTGATATATTATTATACAGGGCATAACGAAACTCATTGACAATATTTTAGAGTCAAGAATTACCTTAAAATTCTCTTCGTTTTCAAAATCTGGCCTGCCAAAAAAAAGGTACATTTCAAATTATCTTATAAAGTACTTACAAGCCAGTTGTCAACTTTTTAAAGTAATTTTGTATGTTTTATGCCTCAGTTATAGATTGAGATAAGTAAATGTTAACAAAGTAAGCTTAACTGTAATACATGTAAACAAACACCTATCCATTTTACAGTAAAATTAAATCTCAATATTCAAAATAAAGATGGGTTGAACACAGAATTTGAACATAAACAGTGATATTTTATGATGGGAAATTTAAAATTGGTTCATGGTGTGATTTTTTGCAGGAAACATCTCAACCAATATAATAATTATAAAAGTCAATCTTCTACATTTATTATAAAATTTTTAAATTACCTTTAACAACAATATTACTGTTTTTCACATAAAAATTATAGAAAAAGTTTATAGTTTGTTAATCTAATAATAAATCAAAATTATATTTAGCAAGAGTTTTTAAATAATCTATGACTCACGAACATTTTTATTTCAGATATAAAATATTATATAATTTTTTAAAATGCTTATATTAATTAATTTTTAATATTTAAACCGTTTTAATGTGCATATTTCTCTCTTTACTAATTAGAAACTACACCAGTATAATAAGTTCTATTAATAAATAGGGTCCAAGTAGACAACATATATACATAGAAATGTAAAACAGTAAGGACATAGAAGTAAAAAAAAATTAATGAAGGATTAATTTGTTTACTCAATTTAAAAGTAAAAACGAGCAAAAATTATTGATATCGTTACAATGTCGGACTTCTATTTTTAATCATATTTTTAATTTATTTACTTTAAATATTTGCTCTCTACCTCAAATTAGTAGTGGCATGCCCCTGTACATCATACTTTTCCTTTAGCAACAGAGTCGTGCCGGTCATCTTTTAACTGCTTTCAGGGGAAAGTTATGAATTGAAATAACGTGACTTTCGGTTTAGAGCAGAAATTTGTATATAGTTAATCTGGACCTCTTGCCCATAGTCTTTCTATATCTGTTTTCGAGATTAAAGAAAGATAGACGGACGGACGAGAGTGGGGATTTATAGGTCTACATTTTTTTTTTTTTTCAAATTGCAGCTCAACGAGATCTATTCTGCTTGGTAGTCGAACAAAGAAGGAGCCGTCTTTCCTTTATCTGGTCAATTTCAACCTGGTTTTTGACCTCCTGCTGATCACCCTCACGTTGTAAAAAATATAAAACCCAGGCAAAAACAATTGAAACCTTTCGGGTACAATTGACAATTGTAGATAAGAAGTTAACGGAGACAAACTGATTGGCATTCTACATGTAGATTCTACGTATGGTGAAAGTCAGTTCAACGAAAATACATGACTGTAATATATTATTAAACGTAATACGACTAAATATTATTAGTTTCGAACGTCACTCCATTTTAAATTTTAAATTTTAATTTCAATCTTATAAATTTCTACAGTAAAGAAAACAAAATGAGATCACAAAAACATAAGGAATACAAACAAAATAAAAATACAGAGTGCCTAAGCAATTTTTTTTTCTCACGTGCACTTAAGATAAACTAATTTTTTGCTCTACTTTTCTTATAAAAAATAAGTATTTCATATATCAAATACTTTTAATATAATAAATTAATCTTATTTTTATTATAAGAATAAAGAAAGTTAGTAAATGAGTCAAATTCGTTTAAAATATTCCATAATAAATGAATGAAACTGTCAATATCTATGATTTAAAATATATTTTTATTGGGTAAAGCTTCATTTATTAATTAAAAATGAGTAATTAAAAAAAGGGAGAAATTTTTATTTAAAATACTTAAGGGAAATAATTTAGATAGGTGTCAAATTAAATATATCGAAGGAAAAATAAAATAAAAATCAATTACGTACTAAAATGTAAACACGAGTTAAATGAATTATTAAAATTCTAAATCTAAAAATTCAATTGAATAATAGCGATTAACTTACTCTTTGAATAAGTAAATTACACTATTATTTCATTACTTATTTTATTTATTTATTTTATTTTCATTCAAGATTTCATAATTTAAAACAAGAACGATGTAAGATTTCTTTATTTGCATTTGTGATTACAACATAAAAAAATTACTCAATATAAAAATGAG